AGCATGTGATCACCTTTTCTGTTCAGGACTCAAGCCATGTGGTCCAATAAACCATCCTTCCAAGCAGCCTCCATGTCTCCAGTGTCTTTTGATTTTGATTTTGATTGATTTTATTATATTTATATGCTGCCCTTTTCCCCCGAAGGGGACTTTTTCCCCACTTGGAGCCGAACTCAGGAGGTCATTTCTTTCATCAAATCAAAATTTATTGTTTGTAAAATCTAATAGCTGACTACACTCACACATTAAGCCAAATTGCAAAGTGATGGCTTAATACAAAAGTATCCATTTGTCTGAATCCTTCCTCTTTTAATCTATTACATCTCCCTGATTGCTGATATTACTGATCACTCAACCTATTACAAATCGATCGTTATTCGTTTGGCAAGCCGTGCATTGAAGGTGGGACAGAAACCATGCCTTTGAAAATGGGTCCACACAGAGAAAATTTATTTGCAAACATTATGATCGTAAAGATGAAACTGTTGCTGTATGGATAACATTCAAATTTCCAGGGATGAGAATTGAAAGGAGAGGGTTACAAGTCTATTGCCTGGACAACTTTTATAAATACGAATTTGATGGCATTGTGCATACTGGTATAGATATATAAATATGAATTTGATGGCATTGTGTTTGTGTGTATATACACATATAAGTTTGAAGATACCCTGAGAAAACTCTATTTTGTGTCTATCTGTGTCTGTATCACGTGCAATGCAATATTAAAGATGTGCATTTAAAAGTAAAATCCATTCCTGCTATAGCTTGAACCACAGTGTACTAGTATTTAACTGCTTGCTTTTAAGCAGGTAAATAAGCTAAGAAAGGACATCTTTATATGATGCCTGAATTTAGGATTATTTTCCAGTCCATGCAAGTGCTTGTGCTTGGCTTAAAATCTAGATCTTGGCCCTAATTCTAACTTTCAACGTCACACCTATCTGCTTACACACTGCGAGGATTGAATCAGCTCTAGGCAGAAACTCATCGCTTGTTAGCATCTTGATTTATGAAGCCAGGATTCCTGGCATAAACTGGCATGCAAAAATGGCCCTTGAGATTAGCAATACCCAGCCAAGGTGAGGTTGCTTAAGTATTCACTTCAGAAATTCAAGCATTTGTCTGGGATACCTACTCTTGGTGCGGGGTTGGATTAGAAGACTCTAAAATCTCTTCCAACTTTCCTGATTGTATTATGTGATATATATTTTTTGAATCTGCCCTTAAGAGGGAAAGCTTAGCATTGCTTCAAACAATGTTGAATTCGTTGATGACATTCATATTTCTTTTCAAAGCTGCAAGGAATAGATTTGCAGAACTCTCTTCCTCTCCGTGAAATATACAAATAACAGAACCACTCCAGGCATATTGATTTACAGAATATTTCCAGTTGAAAACACATACAGGAATAATGCGGCATGAATGTTTATTTTTTTTAAAAAAAAAATCTTTTCTTAACTAATAGGAACAAATGAAACCCAATCCCCCCCCCCCCCAAAATACGGATGAAGGAAAATA